CTCTGCCTGCCAGCGCTCAGCCTCTGCCCGCCTCCCCGCCGCCAGCAGCTCCCCAGGGCAATCTAGCTTTTCTCTCCCAATCTGCACAGCCCAGCACCCCAGAATCTTAGCACTGCCTGCAGACACAGACAACCCCTCTCCACCTCGTAGTGCCACAGCCTTTCTCCCCTGTCCTCTTAGCACTGCCTTCAGGCACAGACAAATCCTCTGCTCCCAGTGCTACAGCCTTTCTCCTGGTCGTCTTAGCACCACCTGGGGGCACACTGACAACTACTGCTGCTCCCAAGGCAACAGCCCTTTTCAATGAATGCAGGTCTTGGATGCCCTGTATCAGAAGATAGTGTTCACCCTTGGGCAGGTGTACATGGCATCAGATTGTATCCACAAAAGATACATGGCTCCATGGGCTGGCATCCTGCATCTCTCATGCCGCCTTCTGGCACACTGTCTGGTAAAGACTGGAGTTCTGCTATGGATTGTGGGGTCCTCATTCCTCCCAGGGAATTTTGAATCTGTGGGTGTTGAATTCCCAGAAATCCCTCAGTTCAATCCCATAATTTACTCTTATTTCTTGTTTGATTGTGCTCCTGAAACTATGGACACAACACTGAGCAGTGATGCTCTCAGGTCCATGTTATGGCCAGGACAAGGCATGCTCTTCTATTTCCAACCCCACCATGCTCAGAGACAGGGTATCAAGATGAGCAGCCAGCCCATGGCTAAAGGAGGAGGAGTTGCACTGTATGTAAGAGAGCAATAGAACTGCTCAGAGCTCCAGTATATAGAGGGAGAAAAGCCTGTTGAGAGTCTATAGGTTAAGTTTAGAGGTAGGAGCAACAGGGGTGATGTTGTGGTTGGTGTCTGCTATAGCTCACTGGATCAGGTTGATGAGGTGGACGACGCACTATATGTGAAAAAAAATTAGAATCAAATGAAGTAAAAATCTTAAATGAATCAACATGTCCCATAGAATCTCTATGCATAGTAATTCTCTGCTCTAATAAGAATATAACAGTAGAGATCTATTATTGACCACCTAACCAGGACAATCTCCGCCCCCCAGCTCCTCCCCTTACAGCCTGCGCTGCCCAGCGCATCTCTGCCTACCAGCGCTCACTATGAAATGCTAAGGGAGATTAGAGAGGCTAACAAAATAAAGAACTCAATAATAGTGCGGGATTTCAATTATCCCCCTATTGACTGTCAATTATCCCCATATTACATGTCACCTCAGGACAAATTGCAGAGACAAAATTTCTTGATACCTGAAACAACTGCTTCTTGGAGCAGCTGGTACAGGAACCCACAAGGGGAGAGGCAATTCTCAATTTAGTCCTGAATGGAGCACAGGATCTAGTCCAAGATGTAACTATAACAGGACCACTCAGAAATAGTGACCATAATATAATAACATTTAACATTCCTGTGGTGGGAAGAACACTTCAGCAGCCCATGACTGTAGCATTTAAGTTCAGAAAGGGAAACTATGCAAAAATGGGGTGGTTAGTTAAACAGAAATTAAAAGGTACAGTGACTAAAGTAAAATCCCTGCATGGACACTTTTCAAAGACACCATAATAGAGGCCCAACTTAAATGTACACCCCAAATTAAAAAAACACAGTAAAAGAACTAAAAAGGAGCCACTGTGGCTTAACAAAATAATAAAATAAATAATAATAATAAAGGAGATTGCCTATCTCCTAGAACCAGAAGGGAACTTGCAAGGTCATTGAGTCCAGTCCCCTGCCTTCACAGCAGGACCAAGTACCATCCCTGATGAATTTTTGCCCCAAATGGCCTCTGCAAGGATTAAACTCACAACCTGGGGTTTAGCAGGCCAATGCTCAAACCTCTGAGCTATCCCTCCCCCATGTAAAAGAAGCAGCAATAGATAAAAAGGCATCTTTTAAAAAGTGGAAGTCAAACCCTAGTGAGGTTAATAGAAAGGAGCATAAACACTGCCAAATTAAGTGTAAAAATGTAGTAAGAAAAGCCAAAAAGGAGTTTGAAGAACAGCTAGACAAAAACTCAAAAGGTAATAAAATATTTTTTAAGTACGTAGACTTCCAATAATCTGGAACCTTTGGGACCTAGGTGGTGCCAGATTATCGGATATGCTGGACTATCAGGAGGTACTATAAAATGTAGTGTAGACGTAGCCCAGGAGTACTGCATCCAGTTCTGGGTCCCCCCACTATAGAAATGATATGGATGCACTGGACAGGGTTCAACAGAGGGGACCAAAATGATTAGGGGGCAGGAGCACATGACCTATGAGGAGAGGCTGAGGGATTTGGGTTTATTTGGTCTGCAGAAGAGCGAGAGGGGATTTGTCAGCAGCCTTCAACTTCCTGAAGGGAGGTTCCAAAGAGGATGGAGAAAGGCTGTTCGCAGTAGTGACAGGTGGCAGAACAAGGAGCAATGGTCTCAAGTTACAGTGGGGGAGGTCTAGGTTAGATATTAGAAAAAACTATTTCAGTAGGAGGATGGGGAAGCACTGGAATGAGTTACCTAGGAAGGTGGTGGAAACCCCATCCCTAGACGTTTTTAAGCCTTGGCTTGACAAAGCCTTGGTTGGGTTGATTTATTTGGGATTGGTCTTGCTTTGGGCAGGGGGCTGGACTCCATGACCTCCTGAGGTGTCTTCCAGCCCTGTGATTCTATGATTGTCCAGCCACAACAAACATTTGCTGACCAACAAGCACTGAGTGGTGATTTTGGCTAGTGATGCAGAACTAGGGCAGTAGTGCCAGAACGTTTGGACTTGAGGAGCCACATCCCTGGAGCTGTGCACCAGGCTTGCCCCAGCCTTGCAGCACCCAGCTGCCCTAAGAGGAAATGGTTGTGCACAGCTAGGTGGGAATCTGCAGCCATACATTGCTCTTGGGTGGTGGGTAACCAGTTTTCTGCTGGAAAAGTCATGAGGGTGATCACTCTCACGGTACGAAGGCCAGTAAATGTGTCCAGCTACACAGAATGTTACGCAACAGCGTGCAGGAAATAATGGATGGATGCCATGAAATGTGCTTCCTGACTGAGCAGGGGATGTTAGATGGGCTGCACATTCCAGTTCTCACACCCATCATTCCAACTCCCGGCATGCCCTCTCCCTCTTAAGCAGTTATCCAGGAGACATTCAGGTGCCAAGCAGAGCACCAGCCGCCAGCATGTTTCTACTGGCGTTGCACATTTGTACATACCTTAGCGCACATCATAAAATTTATTCCACATGGATAGAAAATATAAGGAAGAACACTGCTCACTCCCCCACACTCCAACTCCCAGCACGTCCCACTGCCTGCTCCCAGCTCAGGCAATGTGATGCTGCATTGCAGCCCCTTGCTGCTGGCCCAGTGGTACACCAGCTCCAGGCAGACTGTGTTCACCCCCTGTACTGATCTGGCATGCAAAAAGGAGGCAGTGGGGAAATCCTTGCAGATCCTTTATTAACACATACAAATTGAAGGCAGCCATGTACAGCATTATGAGGGCAGAGCAGTTGGGAGCTTGGTTTAAGGGCTGGCAAAGAGCGAGGCAGGAGCAGCTTGGAGAAACCAAGCACTACGGGCAGTTGCTGCTTCTTAGACATGTTGCTGGGGCCCCATGAAGCTTGCTCACCCCTGTGAGGCTCTTGCTAGTACTACTAAAGGGCCAAGAAAAGCATGCCCCACCAGCATGCTGCTGATGCCACTCCTGGGCCATCCCAGAGCCCCAGCAAGGCATAAGGCAGCTCCTGGCTCCTAGCACTGGGCATACAGGAGTCAGAGCCCTAGGCAATGGAAGACTCCACTGAAGCCAGCATTCCAAGGAGATGGAAATGCCCTGATTTCCTGGGCACTGAAGTAATGGATAAGCCAAAGCTGCACAGCAGCTGTGTACCCATGTTGCAGGCAGGGACGGGCAGCTGTGGAAATACATCCAGGCTCCCTTGCTGTGCTCCCTCCCACTCCAGAACAGATTCTACTGCAGGTAGCTATCCTGCCCTCAGCACAAGACAGAAGGCAAGGACAGGAACTCAGGCTGGCCAGGGCTTCTCACAAACCAACACACACAGAAGGGATGAACAGCAGCCCCTCACATGCTTCACAGGTAGGCTGAGTCTCCTGCAGCCCAGCCGAGCTGTCTGTGAACCCTATCCATGGCAGGAGACCCCAAAAACAGAGCTGCCAGACTCATGAGCCTGGCCACTAGGCTGGAATGCCCACTGTGAGGGGTGAGGGACACCACATACTCTGCAAACCCCAATGGCCTAATTCCTTGCCAACCTGACTGCTCCAGCTAAATGCCATTGGGGCCCTGCCCCAAGGTCAGGGTGCTCTGGGCACTGGAACGACGGGTAGAGCTGCCAGCTGAGGAAGATGGGGTTGTTCCCTTCCATTTGATCCATTGTCCCTGACAATTTTTCAAGTACATAGTCCCAGTATGTAGGCAGAGCAACTGCTCTGAACAAATGCACATACAGATCCCAATAACAGAGCCTGCCCCAGCCTGGACATGTGTCTCGACCCTCCAGGGCCGCAGAGAGTCTCTTATCACCTCCACTGCCCCTCGCTCCCCTCCCACACTCATATGGGGCATAGGAAGAAACTGACCCCCTCTTCTCCCTACCCACCAGGAGAGCCTGGCCTGTCTCCCCCACATCCACATGGAGCCACAAGAAGAAACTCCCTCTGCCCACCCACCAATGGGACACCAAGAATGTGAACCCAGCAAGCTCACACTGTAGGTCACAGGCACTCTCTGCTGCTGTTAGATAGTTTCCAAATGCCTGCCTGCCCACCAACAGTGGGTGGTGCAGAGGGAAGTAGCATCCCATTAAGTTCCAAGGAGACAGGACCCCGTGAGGCGAGCAGGGAAGGGGCAGTAGAAGCCACGAGACTGGAGGAATGGGCCATCTGGGTGAGGTAGGGCAGAGGCTGCGGGGAGCAAGGCTGGCAGTCAGGGAGGCCAGCTCAGTAGTCCATGCTCTCACTCTCACACCAGGCTGAGGGGGCATCAGTACCGAAGTACCTGTCTCCAAAGTTACCTAGACACAAAAAGAACACAGTAAGATGATCAGCACCATGCCCCAATGTGCCAGCCCCTTTTCCTCAGAGGCAGCCACAGGAGAATCAATCCCCCCAGTCTGCATCCCAGCTCAAGCCTGCTATGGGCACAGCATGTAGGGCAGCTACATCGGGGCAGAGGAAGGGTACAGCAAGGCCTGGTCTGAGCGGCCACAGGCAGGCGTCCATGCCAGGCTGTGCTCCCCATCCTCCTTACCGATGCCAGGGATGATGTGGAATTCCTCGCTGACCCTCTTATCCACTGCTGTGGTGATGATGCGGACCCGGGGGAAGGCATAGGCCACGGAGTGAACCCCCATCTCTGCCATCAGCAGGGATAGCAGGAAGATCTTCTCCTCATGGACATCATGATCCTGCAGTACAGACAGTGGTAGGTAGTCTGGCCCTGGAGCAAAGTGCATGCGCAGCAGGTGGACCCTGGACCTGCTCCTTCCACCCAAGCCACCCAGGGAGGGGAGGAATCCCAGGCCAGCCAGAGCCTTAAGACCAGTCCGTCCCCCCCGCAGCCAGAGGAGCCTTGGGTTGGCCCAAGCCGTACTGCAATTCTCCTCCCGAGACCCCACTGCCCCACAGAAAAAAAGTTCTCCCTGAAGAATCTGAGTTTATCATCTTCCCCATGCAGGTTCTGGGGTGGTTGAGGAGATATCTGCTACTCAGGAGATTACTAAGGAACCAAGGAACCTGAGTAGCACATACGACAGCCATTCCAGAACCTACATGGTGCATAATAATCAGCAAAATCTCCCTGTCATCGTTCAGCAGCAGCAGCAGCTGCTGTGCCAGGGAAGTTTAGCCTCCCTGACCTATTATACCACCTCTTGTGGCCTAGAGCATTAGCCTCCCTGCTGGAAACCCCACCCACTCAGCTACACTCCAGGAACCTGCCCTGATTCCCAGAGGGTAAACTGGCTGGCAGGCTCACCAGCAGGACGCGCACAGCCATCATGGCCGCAGCCCCCGTGGACACGGTGCTGTCCATCAGGATGACATAGTCTTCGCTGATCTCCTTGGGGAGTCGCAGATAGTGAAGCTGCAGAGAGAGGGATGACAGCTTATGGAGAAGAACACAGGAGCAGCCACAGTAGGTCAGACCACAGGTCCATCTAGCTCACTATCCTGTTTGCCAGCAGTTGCCAGTGCCAGGTACCCGAGAGAATGAATAGAACAAGGAATCACCCAGTGATTCATCCCATTGCCCATTCCCAGCCTCTGACAAACAGAAGCTAGGTTCACCATCTCTGCCCATCCTGGCTAATAGCCATTGATAGTCCTATCCTGCAGGAATGTATCTACTGCTTTTTGAAGGCTGTAAGTGTCTTGGCCTTAACATCTTCTGGCAAGGAGTTCCACAGGTTGACGGCATTAGTGGGAGCCAATGCTTCCCAAGGGCTGGGAGCAGAGAAGAGACGGACAGGGTAGCACTCACCTCAGGCTCTCCCGTGTCATGATTGGTCTGGATCAGAATCTTGCCCAATCGAATGTCTTTGCAGACAGCAGTGAGTGCCTGCTCCATGGTCTCCCCTGCCCGCAGGATGGACACACCAGTGATCTGGGGCAGGGCCAAGACAACATCCACCTTAGACTGTACACACAGCACAGTGACCACCTGCTCCCCGTCTTCCTCCACTGCGGCAACATCTCCCAACAACCCCCCAGCCCCCTCACTTGGGCAAGGCTCGCCAGACACCCTTCCCAGGCCCCAAAGCACTCTGGAGCCCCACAGGGGATTGTCACCTTTCTGGGACACTTCTGCCCCCCCTCAGCCTGGCCCCTGAAAGCCTCACCATCTGCTCCCAGTCTTGTCTTGCTGCGCAGCCGGGACGGACTGACCTCACAGAGGCTGTGACTAGCCCAGGGTCACACAGGGAGCCTGTGCAGAGCTGGGAATAGAACCCAGCTCTCCCCAGGCCTGGGATGCAGAATGGCCACCCTTCCTCTCCGAGTTCTGGGAGGACCTAATCATCCCCAGGGAGTGTTGGCCAGTCTCACCCGCTGTCTATGGAACCGCTTCCCTTCATACACGGTCCCCTGAGGTGTCTCCACTGTAACTGGCTACAGGAGAAGAGAGAGTCATTAACACGGGAGCAGGCCCTTAACCAGGCTGAAGCGTGGCACAGCAACTTCATCTGGAAGGCTCAAGAGGAGGTAGCAAAGGGCCTGGGCCTTGCATAGCAGATGGGGGGGGCAGTGGGGCGGGGCAAGGCCTGGCAGATAACAGAGTGAACTCGTCCCTGGTTGTGTCCTTGTTCCTGTGGGACCAGTGACACAGAGATGAGAACAGACTTCTGGGCCCCCCCATTCCCCCACCCCAATTCCAGCCCCATCCCAGAGCGAAAAGAGAATGCAGGGAGGGGGACAGAGCAGGCATGTCAGGGAGAGTATCTTCTCACTTCCCTAGATGAGCCTGGTTCTCTCAGATGACAACTCGTCCCTGGTTGTGTCCTTGTTCCTGTGGGACCAGTGACACAGAGATGAGAACAGACTTCTGGGCCCCCCCATTCCCCCACCCCAATTCCAGCCCCATCCCAGAGCGAAAAGAGAATGCAGGGAGGGGGACAGAGCAGGCATGTCAGGGAGAGTATCTTCTCACTTCCCTAGATGAGCCTGGTTCTCTCAGATGACTGCCAGAGGAGAGGCCTGCACCCCTAGCATCAGGGGCCTTTCACCTCTCGCATGTGGGGGCCCAGCCCTTAACACTGTCTGGAGCACAACACATCCCCTCACTCCTTAGTGCTGCCCAGTGTGCAGTGCAGTGATTTAAAGGGCTCAGGGCTCCAGCTGCCACCGCAATAGCAGAGGCCAGAAGCCTCAGACTCCAGGGCAATATCCCCCTCGTCCTCCCCCGCTACTGCTGGCTAGATCTGAGCTAATGGTTCTCCTAAGAGCAGGGGCTGTCCAGGTAGCTCCTGTCCCCATACCTTGTGGGGATCTGATTCCATGCCACCCCTCTGACAGGGTCCTGCTGACAGGGGTGCCAGCTATCCCAAGGGCAACACCACATTGGTCAGGTTAGCTCCGGGGAACCAGAGGCCAGCCCCATCCTGTCCTGTTACACTTCCTCTTTCAGCACATCCCAGCCTCCCATGCCTGAGCCCCACCCCGAGGGTGAAGTTTCCATGGCCCCTGGATGGGCAATGGCCTGGAGGACAGGAGCGGCGTGACATCGGATTGGGATAGGAACCTACAAGTCACGACTGCAACAAATCATGTTCAAAGTGGGCCAAGTAAGGTGTCTATAGAAAGCTGATGATTCGCTGCCACCTGTAAAGAAATGGGTACTGCATGGACAGGGGACTCGCCCATGTGACTCCAAACTCCAATGTAGGATGTACTAGTGTGGAGCTCTTCCCTGAAGTGCACAGAAGCATGCAGAGCCAGGAGCACCCCACCCATTGGAGCTAAGCCTGGTAGGCACCCATGCCCCCTTCCACTTTCCTCCCAGATCTTTCACCCACCAACACTCCTGTACTTTACCTCCTACACTGACCCCACATGCCCACCACAGCCTGCTCCCTTTGGTACCTGCTCTTGTGCCTTCCCCACCCCTGACATAAAGGGCCCTGGAAATTCTTCCCTTTTGTCTTAATTCTGACTTCCCACCTCTGAAGGATCTTTGCTATGAACTCAAGCTTGGAACAAAGGACTGAATAGCCCATCCTAACAATGAACATACTCCAGAGACTTAAGACAACAAATTATTCCATCTAGCTAACAAGCCTGAACCAAGAATTCTGGAAAAGGAATCAAATTACGTGCATCAATTGCAATTTTAACTCACCCCTTCTTTACTTTTATAAATAATCCTTTTATCTATCAAAAGGATTGATAATGGTGTGCTTTTGAGTTAGATCTGAGTTATAAATTAACCTTGGAATGTGGCTGGTTCTTTGGGATAGGAAGAACCTGTTCAGATTTGGTGAAATTGGTTTTCATAACCACTCACCTGTGTAAGGAGCAGTGCTGGTTGTGGCACAGGAGAAGCTGGAGTGTCTGAGGACAGCTAACCATTGTGGTGAACAGAAGTGCTTTGTGAGACTTATTTGGAGCCTTAAAGTGGAGGACCTCACTCTTGGTCCTTGAATTGACTCTTAAAAACCCCCTTGTTACAAGCAGTCTGATGGAGTGTTTCCTGCTCCTTCACTTGGGGCCTGGGATATGCTGACAGGACAGGGATGGGATGAGGGGCTCTGGTTATTCCAAAGCAGCCCAACTAAATGGGCCATTTGCCCTGCATATGACAGGCACCCCAGCAGTAGGACCCAGTCAACCAAGACTCACTTGGGCAGAGCAGCAGGCAGGTGCTCCATCTACTCCGAGTAAGGACAGCCATACCTCAGGCCTGCTCCATGGTGAGGTCCCCCCATTAAGAACAGTTCACCAGACCAGGCTAGCAAACAGGGCTACAGATCACTGGGCAACTTCCTCCTGCTGACCTCTGTCAGGACAGATCTGGCCAGCCTCACTGTCCAAATGGTACCTAGCTTGCTGGGCCAAGGCCGAGACATAGCCATGGCAAATTCAAGTGGACAATGAATGCACTGTGGGGAGAGATTTCCACACTTCTCAGCAGCAAGGGGGGGGGAGAGGGCAGCTCTTATGTGGAATCTGACCAAGGACATCAAAGAAAGAGCTTGTACCAAGGGGTCACTACAGTTGTGGTGCTCAGGGCTGACCTGGATCATAGTTTATCCTATAGCTCTCTGGGCTAATCAAGGGCTACCTGTGCCATGTGCCGGTGGACTCTACCACTTACTTCAGTAAAACTCTGGTCGTTCAGGGGTGTGAAAAAGCCCATACGAGCAACATAAGCATCTGTGGAGAGCACTAGGTGAGCAGGAGAATTTCAGGCAGACAGCTACTGTCATAGAGCTCTCTCCCTGTCAGCATAGAACAACTTCCAGCTGCACTGCCTAAGTTTGCTTATGTATACGTAGCCTGACAAACCCGACTGCTCTGAAAACTGCCTGCCATTAAATACCAGCTTAGTTGCACCAGTCCCCCTGCCAGGCGACTAGTGCAGCTTCCCAGGACTGGAGCCCCAGAGGCCGTCTTGGGAGGTTATGAAGCCACACAGTCAATCCTGAAGGAAGACACCCCCCCAGAGGATATAGCCCATTTAAGAGGCCCCTCCAAGAAACTGTTCCAAAGCTTGGGAAGCCCTGATCTTGTGGGTCCATGACAGACCTGCAGCCATGCCCCACATAATGAACAGGACTGCGATGGCCCTAGGGCCTGAATGAGGTGGACTGGACATCCCACAGTCAAAGGAAAGGGGCCAAAACCCAAATTTGAGAGACTTCATCATCTATTACTGAAATATGCCTGGTGTGAGTTACTGGGAAACCAGAAGGGACACTGAGGCAAGGGGGCTACAGTGCCATGCTATGCCACCAGGTTCATGCTCTGGGACTGCAACTAGGCCAGCCGCCCCAGAGGAGAGAGCTGGGGAAGAAAGGCTGCCCCCAGCCAGGGTGACAGCATGGCGTGTAGAAGAGAAAGGCTGCCCGCCCCCCACCTCATGCAGAGAGCAGGGGAAAGGAGTCCTGGTGGGGGGCTCCCAGGAAGGGGTGCTGTGGGGAGTGAGGGAGGAGCACCCCCCCCACCAGGCAGAGCACAGGAGGGAAGGAGACCCTAGTACCCCCAGGTAAAGGAGAGGCCCTGCTGAGGGAAAAGCCAGAGAAGGTCTCCGTACCTGATGATGGTGTGCATGCCACGCACCTGCGGCGTGCTCTCAAGGACGCTCAGCGACTTGGGCAGTGGCTGCCCTTGGTGGGCAGAGGCCAGGGCTGCTCTGCAGATATACATGAGTGAGTGTGGCCCAACAGCCCTCTGCCAGGCATTTACACAGGCATGCACACACACACCACCTGCCCATGACCACCACATGCAGGGAAATGCTGGTGGCCCATCAGCTTTCTGCCACATTCGCCACATTCACCAACCCATAGGAGACCCCCCCGCGAGCATGTGTGTGTCTGACATCTGCACGGCAACTCTGTCCGCCAGGCAGCCTCATGTCCGGCTCCCTCCCAACAGGGCACACAACCCTCCCTCCTCCACACCAGCTGCATGTGAGCAGCACAGGGATGGTCTTGTGCCAATATGCCAAGGACAACAGCACACCAGCCGCCACCCCCTCCAAGAAGATAGATAGACTAAGAGTGGGAGTGAAGCTGCAGCAGTTAGGGCATGGCATAGCCAGCCCTGCCCATGGGGCTCTTGGTCTGTACTTTGCACTCAAGCAAGTTTTGATCTAGCTAGATTAAGTCTAGTTTAGATAGAAGGTAACTTGGATGCATCCAGATGCGTTGCAATCCTGCCCCTCTGGGTCTGCCGTGACAAGGAAATTGTAAGAGTTATGAAGCCTATCTGTACCTCAGATTCCCTTATGTTGCACTGTTACTCATTGGGGAAAAAGGATTATGCTGGCTCTCTAGGAAGAATGAGCCCCAGGTGTCACCTCCCTGCCTGAGTGGAATGAATAGTCATTAGGAAGCCAGGGAAGAAGTGGGCCAGAGACCAGGCCAGCTGCAGTGACTCCTGGCTCAATGCTCTCAGCAGAGAACAAGTGACAAGAAACCTGGGCAGGTCTACACTACCGCTTTCCTCAATCCAACATACACCAAACAGGGGTGACAAGGCCTTGCCTGCACGCCAAATGACGGCAACCCAAGCGCTGCCAGTGAGACACTCCTCCACAAACTGCTTCTGTCTCTCACAAAGGTGCATGAATGCTGCTGATGGGAAAGTGCGTCTAGCAGAGCGCTGCAGGTGGGCCAAAACTGTGCTTCTAGGGAAGACTAGTGGTGACTGAGGAAGTCAGAGGCTCAAAACACTAGCCTTCCTATTGGAGTGCTTCAGTGTAGACACAACCCACGCCGACGGCAGAATCCTCCCATCAGCGCAGATAATCCACCTCTCACAGATGCAGGAGCCAGGCCAATAGAAAAGTCTTCTGTCAACCTACTGCTGTCTAGAAAGGGACTTAGGGTCAGTGTAACTACGCAACTCTGACAGTGGATTTTTCATGCCTTTGAGCAACGTCATTAAACTGGCCTAACTTAGACTAGGCTGAGAGTAGCAGTAGGCATGAAAATGGAGCTTGCTGCAGCTTGGCTAGGCTCTGGACTGAGTGGAATAGCCCATGCTTCTACTTTCCTCTCTCCAGGCCAGGCTGCCTGTGCTAGGATCCAGGTGGATAAAAAACCCAACTGTTTTAAAAAGCTGGGCGAGTCACTGCAAATGCCAGGTGAGGGGCATGGACTGTGGCAGAGTAGACAAGTCTTGACTAGGGTCTGTCTCAGCAGGACTTGCTGACCAGAGCTCTTGGTTTGAAGCAGG